ACATTAATATTCTACAATATACTAGTTGCATTTTTCAGTGACTAAAATTTTGAAAGAAACAGTAGTGAGAGATGGCAACTTTGTAAAAAGCATTCGTAGGTCTCCCACTCAGACCAGTTACAAACCGTTCTTCTTCATAAGGAAAACATGAAGTTTCTTACTTTGTATTGAAAAATGCGGCCGAGGTTTCTCCCATAATAGTCGACAGATCTAAAATCTCCATTATTTGGGAAATAATTCTACTGGCAATCGCCTGTCAACACACCTGGCAGAATCCCCATGGCCTCTCTAATGAGTCATGAGTATTACCATCCAGAAATACCACTCTATAATCCCGTCGCCAATTGAAATATTCTCTAAACTTTCATTGGAGAAATATGTTCTTAGATCCACATTATCGAAGTAAATCTATTATATTGGTGCAAGAGTAATGAGCGTTTCACTAGGTCTTGTTTCGAGAAAACTTTTCTCTGTCAAACTTTCCACTCTATAATAGATTTAGCATACTATCGAAAAGCTCTTTTCATGCTCTATCTAATGATGGTAAGATCAGGCTTCTGGGCTTTTTGGGAACTTACAGAGCTTCATAACCGCACTCGTTATTAGAATTTCTGGACAGAACTCATGCGCCATGGCATTCTTTCGAAAATTCAGCTATTGTATGCACAAGAAATTGTCTATATTTATACTATATGTTTTGAGATTATCAAGATGACATATCGATACCTCAACATAAGTGATGTTACGGCCATTCTGTGGCCCATGCATTTCTACTAAAGAAAGCCAATTTTCTCTCATTTGTAAGCGTAAGGGTAGGGATCTCCTGTTGACACCATCTGATAGAGCTGACTTCGTCTTAGATTTACAGTGTGGAGCAAATTACCGATCCCTCTTCATCACTGTGGGATTACGGTCGGATTTTGCAGCATATAACACCGCTTGTGACATAGGCCAATCGAAAATTTTGGAAAAGTTGGTAAATTGTGTAACAAGGTTATCGTGCATGCTGATTCCAACATAGCTTTCTGATGGCGTAATCAAATCTTTGGCAAATATAGAAATGGTTGCTACATTATTTGGCATAACTTATGAGAAAAGCATTACGATGAAGTGCGCTCTCCATATGTGGAATCAGCGGCTCCTGTTAAGTTAGTTACGAGCACTTAACTTCTAATACTTTTCTAGGGTGTTATATGACACCTCGAAGTTCCTACCGTAATTCTACAGAAACGAAGAGGGAACGGTACCTCGCTCCATGGTGCCTGAGTGACGCCAGCACTACAAAATTGTACCCATAAATTCTCGAAAGACAAGAGAGTTTTACTTTCACCCTTGAGTACAATACTTCTTATAATCGCGTAAGAACTCACGCATAAGCAGTTTTGTTCCTCATAAGATAGTGTAAATGATCAGCAAGATCTTTTATAGTATCAAAATCGTCGGCAGCTATGAATGAATTAGGAGGCACAAGTTTTTCTACAAGTGATCTCTGAATAATGATCATATCAAAAATAACCACTACAACAATCCGAGCTTTCACCTTGAGTACGATAGGTACAATATCATATTGATAACCTTGATGCCATAGTTTTTCTGTGACATAGTCCTTGCAAATTGAATTCTCAAAAGCGATATAGAAATGGTATCTAAGAAATCTCATAAAATGAGAGATTTTGTTACTCATTCCGAAACTCACTCCTCGTTTAAATCATTTATGCATTTGCCTCTAGGTGGACAATGCAGTTTACCACAACTACCATAGATATCGATAGGAAAATATTGCTGTAGAATGGAAAGTTCAGTTGAAAAGTGGTAGATATTAGGTCGCCGAAAGCGCAGATCTACGCAGACATTTGCAGCAAGCCGCGAACCTTTGCCATTACTACTTCATGCCAGCTTTCCGCGTGCGTGAAGCTAAGCGGCGGCCTAATGTCTTCTACCCTTTGAAAAGTAGGTAAATTCTTGTTAGCAAATTGTGGGACAAGATCTTTGCTGGAATGAAGCGCTTTTGTAAGCTAAATGGGCGTCTTGTGCTAATCTAAAAGTAATTCAAACAGAACATCTCTGTAATTGTTCAAGATAATCTGAGTGATAGAC